GGCCGGGCTGGGGGGAGCGGGGCGGGGAAGCTGCCCAGGGCGTTTCTGAGGTTAACGGGCCGCCTTGGTGGGCGAGCCGAACCAGGCCGGGCCGGGCTGGGTAACGCCGCTTTCAGTGCGAGCGCAGCAGGCTTTAGGCGATGTTTCTTAAACAATTGTTTTAAGACGATAAACCATTTCAAAACTTTCTCCCTACCTTGCTAAAAATCAGTTTTTACTTAGTTGTGCATATTTTTCTAGTTAAATGATGCTATTTTTCTGAATCTCCTTGGAAGTTTTAGGGGTGGTAGTTTGAACAGGGTGTATCCGATAGTGAACCAACAGAGCGCTGTGGGAACCCTGGTTGTTGGTGACCTCCTTAACGGGTACAGGGAAAAAAAATCACCCCTGCTGGTTGTTTTCCAGACTTTACGGAGATGATGAAGGCCCTGGGGTATCCCCGCCTCATTTCTATGGAGAACTTCCGCACCCCAAACTTCATGCTCGTTTCGGAGGTGCTGCTCTGGCTAGTGAAAAGGTTGGTGATTCACCTGATGACTGTCAGGACTGATGCTGGGATGAGCATTTGGAGCTGGTGCTTTGGTGTGAAATTGTTTTGAGAGGTCTAAAGAGGAGCCTAAAGAAATTGAAGCTTAGGAGAGTGTTGCTGTTTTGAGGGAGCTACTGCTAGGAGTATGTAGTAGAAAGTTTGTACTTGAGGTGGCTTTTTAACTCTCGCCTGTGTCTTCAGTGGTCTGTGCGTATCATGGATTTCATTGTGTGCTTCAAAGAAGCCAACGATGGTTAAACCAAAGCAATGGCACAAAGCCTTCTTCTGGGTCTTGGTCGCAGCTTCCACTCTTCAGGGGCTCTGGAATCCAGACTCAGCATGAGCCTTGCTTTGACGGTGTTAAATTCAGACAGTACGAGGTGGAGCTTATTTTCATTCCCAGTCATTTGTGGTGTTTGAATGATCTGGAAGTACTTCCTTGAGAGTACATTGGGGGATATCACATCTCTGTGCGCAGAGCATGGCCCTTCTGACATTTCAGAAAACGAAATGAAGATGAATGTTTGAAATGCACAGTGGTAGCTTTTTGCTCGTGTTCTGCATTGACAGATACGATAGTGACTCAGCACCCAAAGGAATCCTTGGGGTCCCACTAGTCTGAATGTGAATGATATTTCTGTAGGAATACATTGAAATATTCAAATATTCTGTTTTTTCTTTTTTTACTATGTTGGGTGAAGTGATTGTTTCTTTAGCTTATAATAAGTGAAAAGGGCATTACAATAGTGACTTAAGCTCATGGTAGAATATCTCATTTCTATTCTTCTGTGATTTTGTCCCATTATTAAGCTGCTGAGCCTGTGCCCTGTCTTCCTATTCAAATTTCATGCAGTGGCTCTTTTGTTTAATTATAGACCTCTAAAAATGTGTTTTAATAGGTGAAGTTAAAATGACCCAGTCCTGGCAGAGATTGCCTTCTGAAGATGGGTATATTTATTGCTCAAGTGTAGCTCAATCCCTCAATTCTTTGTTTTACAAACTCGGTTGCCACCCTTGCTGTGTCTGACTATGTATTCTAAACCAGGTAGTATGTAATGAGAACTTCATGAGATACCTTCTTATCTTGTAATCCAAATTATTGTTTCAACCTGGAAGCGGGTAGCCTTCATGCTCTATGAAAAGAAAAATCCATAGTAGTAATCTGCATCTACCTACATGTAGTTTTCCGTCCACCTGACTTACTGACAAACTTTTCTTAAATATTTATGAAACTTGATGTACTGATTAAATTACACATAATCTTCTTTCACTCATGTACATGAAGGAAAAAGCTTTTAAATTACTTTTATGTAAATATTATGATGGAAAAATGTGAAAATGACCCATTTTCCAGTATTGTTTTTTGGCTTGGATTTGTAGTTAATCTCCATTTAGTGTAATTACCCTTTTATAATATGTTTATTGAGTACTGTCATAGTGGGAAGAAATAAAATAAGGGAATACTAAAATATTTCAAAATTACTTGGATTAAATTACTTAATATTTTTAAAATACTGATGTTAATAACAAAGGTCTAAATTACATACTATTTCCACAGTGAGTTTCCATTTTACATTGAAAAACAAAAATCGATATTCCTCTCCATATATATAACAGCAACACAATAGAGCAATTGAAAATAAAAATGTTTTAGAAAAATGTATTTGTCTAATGTACCTGAACACTTTTAGATGATTAAACTTCTGTTTGAACCTCTGTTTTATAAGCTGACTAGGAGTCCTGTGCCTATTATTGCACTTGCAGACTGAATAGCTACATAACACTAGGTTTCTTTTGTGTTTCGAGTGAAATCTGCACTTGATACCGACAAGCAGCTATTCCAGCCTTTTGAAGCCTTTTAATTATATTTTAAAGTGCGGAGGCTAATTTGCACTTGACTTGCTCTTAGTCTCCAGTGTGATTTAGAAGTGCAGATGCCGTTTTCTGTCTGAATGCTGGAAATCTCAAAGCTTTTTACAAGACTCAGGGAATTTGCTTTCTTTTTTTCTTCCCTGATTCCTGTAGGCTGGTGACTTCCACTCTAGAAGTTTTTGTATCTTACTAACAGGTTTTATAAAGGTGTTTTATGATCTTGTAAGTTGAAAGGCATTACAAAGATCTAATATTTAATCTATTATTTGTGAAGGAGAAGTTAGTTTGGTGACAAGGTTTAGTAACCAGAATTCTATGTTTGCTTCCCTGCATGTCCAGAAACTCTCTTGAGGTGCATGCTTTTATATGCACAAACTCAAAAGCTTTGTTAGCTTTGAAATTAATGTGTTTTAAATTATATCTGTGGGTGTGAACTTCTTTCTGTGTTCGAGAAGTGGAAGCACATGTCAATATTTTAAATGACAAGGGGACTGTTTTGACTCTTCTATTACTCTTTTATTACAAGTCATTTTAGCACACTACCTAAAAGGTTGAGATAATTATATGCCAAGTGTTTTTAAATTATGAAACCATGTGTAATTTTTTAGTTTGATTTTTATAAGCATCTCATGATTTAAGTGAAAAATTACTTTTGAAAAATAAGTATTTCATAGATTTGCCTTAGCCAGCTAAACTATGTTCCTTTGCAAAATTGAACGAAAAGATTAATTCTGGACCCCAATATAACGATTACTTCTGCAGAAATATCTCGGGTTGTATGATTTTTGCACTTTTTACGTGATTCCACTCTATGCATCACAGGGTTTAGATACCCCATCTGCCTGGCGACGTAAAGATTTATTTCGCAGTCTCCCACATGTTGATTTTTGTCTGACTCTGCCTCACAGCTGCACCAGACTGCTTAATACTGCGTGTGTATTTCTTGCCAGAATCTATGGATGTTTCTTTTCACAGGTATGAACCTCAGACTGATATTCCTCCTGATGTGGAGACAGAGCAAGACCGGGTGTTTTTCATCAAGGCTGTAGCTCAGTTTATGGTAGGTCTGGTTTAAGCCCCCTGAAATAACTCCTTGATATTAGATTTAATACTTTGTCTCTTAACCCCTTACAATTTCTTTGCTCTAGGTGGCTGTGTATTGTGTTCTGATGCTGGGTGTCAGTTACAAATCAACTTTGTTTTCTTTCTGAAATGACCATGTACAAGCTATAAAATTGACCCGAATAGTTTGCTAAGGATTAAGAAATAGTAAAGAGATGAAGCAGGGAGGAGGGAGGTTTCTTCTTGAACCTTATTGATGCTACAGCTTCAAAACTTGCAGCGATGAAAGTGTAAACAAAGGTAGTTTCACTTAAGTCACAGCAGTAAAATAAGTGAGTTCTTTCTTAGATCATAAACCCTTTTGGGCTTAGGGGGATCTTTTTGATTTGTGTTTTGTGAGTGGAGAGCTTGGCCATGACTTGAGGCCCTGTGGTAAGAGCTGTTATAAATTTGAAAAGGACAGGTGCGTTGTTACTGAAATTGTGTAGCTATGTGTAAGTCTTTGCAGAATTGGGATCTAAGCATATAACGTTATAAAACAATATTCATCCTATCTTTTTTTTAAGTAATATAATATAATATATGTTGTATGAGCCTTCTTGCTTATTCTATTAAGGCATGTATTCCCAGACCAAACCTTTTACCAGCCTTGTCTTTTTTAAGAAGTTGTTACTGTGCTGGACCTTTTTCATGGGTCCTGCTGTTAGAGAGGTGTTACAATGAAGGCTGAAGCTGAAAAGATCAGGAACCAGGTAATTCGGTTAAAACAGTACAAAAGACCTCTAGCCCTTCAGGAGGAAGATAGAAATTCTGATAATAAAAATCTTCTAGCTTCCAAAGTGTAATGCTTCTTATTTTATATGTTTTTTTTTTAATCTGGATATTTACTATTATCTGTTATTGAAAAATAAATTATAATATATAGTATTTTTAAAAATAATTTGTTTTGTTATGATTGGCTACGCGGAAGTATATAAAAGGGCTATTAACTTTTTTTTTTCCTCTCTAATGGAATAAGATAACACTGTTATTCACTTGTTATTTAATGGAGCATGAACCTTTGTGGTAGTGAGAAACATATCTAGTAGTTTTGATCAGACAGACGAAACTTAATAGAGCTACAGGAAGAAATGGGAATTCTTATGCTACGATCAAAGATTAATTCCGTATTATTGTTATTTTTTAAAATAATATCTTAAAATGACAAAAAAAGTCCAAGTGAGCTTTTGCCTTGAGATTTATAATGTTGTCCACCACAAATTATCGCACTTTCTAATTTTAATGTGTTCAAATATGATGTACTTCTGTATGTGTCAGAACACAGTTTTCATCCTTGAAGCATCATGAGATGTGGCTGGCAGATCTGTTCTGTTTAGAGATATTTCCACCTTCCAACTCGAGTATGTTTTAAAAGGACAAGGGTTGTATCAGAAGTTGATTTCATGTAAGATATCTCCAAGGTCTTTGAAGAATTATGTAATATGATTCAGAAGATGAAATGAGTACAAGGTTTTTTAATCATCCTGTACTTAGTCTCAGTTAATGTTACAAGATAATATGAGGATTATTGCAGTTTTTAATAACCAGGCTGTCAGTGCAGAAGTTTTTTCTTCCTCTTCAGAATAAGATCTTTTAAACATTTTTGAGATAGTTGTGCTTTTCATGGAAAACAGACTATCTTCTCCAGTAACTAATAGCTCTTTCATCTATAGCCACATGTGACATTTGATCATTTGATGGAGATACTTGTTTTGAGATAAACCTATCAAGATGGGTTAATCATTGTGAAATATAGTTGGAATGTTTCCATTACTAAACAAAGGAGTAAAAATGTATCAAGTTTCCACCAAATGATGCATTTCTCTGTGACTGGGCTTATGTATTTCTAATATAATTAATAGTTCTATTAATTCAAAACACTGTGCCATTTAATATCTGAGGAAAGTAGTTTCTGTCCTTCCACTTTCTCTAATGATCCTAGGCCACATCCAAAATGAGACTTAGGTCTGTAAACATAAAATGATAATCCAAAATATGTTCATGTGAGTGGGTAGCTAACCCTGTAGTGCTAGAACTTGAGATGAGAAGTTCCTGAAGTGTCTGCTGAGTTTTTTGGCTTTGTGTTTTTTTTCCCCTCTTTTTCCCTCCCGGTTTGTGGTGGCAGTGAATTGGTGCAGTGTTACTCCATGGATCATGCAGGAACAATTCACTCTCCTTTTCTTATTATTCTATTTATTGAGGCTCTATCTTGAGGCCAAAATTTGGCTCTATAATGATAGAAAGACAGATCTTGAAATGGAGCAAGCTTCCTTCCTATCAGTGCCATTCTTGCAGTATATTTCAAATTTTCTTTTGTATTGCATTGTGGTAATTTGGTATATTCAGAATAGGTGGGGATGATTTTCTTTTTAAGTAATACTTTAAAACCATTCAGAGTTGTTATAAAATATCTGACCAAGGCTCAAGCTTTCCATATATGGACTTACCTACGCAAACAAGCAGTGAGATTATGTCAACCTGAAGAATATTATATTTGCATGTGTATTATTTCCTTTTTTTCTGAGCGATCTTTGAGTGGAAAACACTTTTTCCCTTTTATTAGACATTGATTTTTCTCTCTTGGGGTTGAATGGAACTGAAATTGGAATTTCCATCTTTAAAAGCATCCTTTATAATTCAGCGTATTAGGCTCCTTTGTGTAGAAGACGGTTAGCAAATTCTGTCAATTTAATGTCACACTTCTCACAAAATTTATACCTACTGCTTGTAGAAGTAGTTTTTTAGATTCCTTCTTCTGGAAAAATAGAGTGTAGGAGAACATATGTGGTTCTTTACTTCCTGTATTGGTTCATTCAAAGTCATGCTAGTCAAAATTTTCAAAAGTGACCAGGTGTTTTTATGCCTTAAGTCTTGTATTCTTCCCCCCACACCCCAGGCAGGGTACACAACATCAATAATCTCTCTGAAAATCCTGGCTTCATTGTTTTAACAGTTTTCTTCTGTCCAGGGAGTACAGGCAGAACCAATTTTCTCTATTGTGTTGAGATGTTGTACAAGAGAGAGGTAAGGGTGAAATGCCTCTTAAAAATGGCTGTGAATGGCAAGATACATAAGAAAAGATGTGAGCCTACAACTTTTGGTATTTTTCTTTTTTTTTTCCTGTAAAATCTGGAGCTAAACCCATGGTTTGACATGTCCTTTCTCCATTTAGTTTCTCTGGAAGTTTTCCCACAGAATTATTCAGCAAAGCCCAGGGCAGAATGAACAAAACTTGTAGCACGTTAATAGCTGAATCTTAGGCTTTTGCAGAGTTTTCCCTGCTGTTTGCTTTTGGCTCTCTGGGGCTATTCATCTATAACAACATTGCCAGGAATTTCAAGAACTGCATTTGTGTCCTACCTGCAACAGCTGTGTACTTTCTGTTATCCTAACTTTTCCTTCCCTTTAGTATTTTAAAGTATAAAAAGATAATGATGTAATTTTTAATAGTGCTTCCTTACTCGTTTGCCTGTGCTCTTCAGAGGTGGGAGAAAAGGGATCAAAGTCACTAATATCAACGTGGGGAATAATTTGAGAGCTGCAATAAAATATTATTTTTAAGATACTTTTGGAAAAGAAGACAGTTAATTTGGGATAATTGATCTTATGTAACTTATTAAGGGTGAAGTTTACCTCTGTGCAAAATCATCACAAGACCTGAGGAACACTTAAATTCCACTTAAGTTTAATTTGAATTAAATGGTGTACAGGGCTTTTGCTGATATTCACTCTGGGAAGAACTAATGGATAGTTTGAGGTTTTTTCATTGTGGCAATTATCTGCAAATGCTCTGACACAGAGAAAATGCATGTGTATCTGAAAGTTTTCTTTTAGGAACATCAGTAATATGCTTTAGACAAACTTGTGTTTCTAAACAGCAAGTTTTATATGTGTAAATTTTATAGGTGTTTATGTGTTTATGGTACCACCCCAAAAGTAATTTTAAATGATGAGTAGGTAAATGAAGGTCTTGTTCTCTGTGACATGGTGAATTCTTTCTTTCCAAAAGGCTACCAAAGCACACATCAAGCTCAACACCAAGAAGCTTTACCAGGCAGATGGCTATGCAGTGAAGGAGCTGCTCAAGGTCACCTCTGTACTTTACAGTGCCATGAACACCAAGGGAATGGAGCGCACAGAAGTGAGTGAGGAAGACAGCAGCAAGTTCAAGTTTGATCTTGGCTCGAAAGTAAGGAAAATTTAGATTTATATTTTTGGGGGAGAGGAAGTGGGTGGTAGCCTATGAAAAGCCAAACTATTTTCTATCTTGAAACTTAAATAGAGAATGTCCGCACAAGGAAATTGGCATGACTTAATTATATTTTTACCTCAAATATTCTGTAGTGGAGTTTGTGTAGTCTGACTTGTTTTAATCTCTTAACCAAGAGCATAGTACAAAACTGGTCACACTTTCAATAGCATTCCGAAACAAAGATGCAAATTGCAGCAGGCCAAATGAGGTAGTATATCCAACCTGTTAACCTGCTTGTAAGGGGGATGCTTGCACGATATTGACCGGCGTGTTTTTCAGACTGTTTCCTTTGAAGGAAAAGGGAATCTCTGTATTGTCCTAGCAGGCATCAAATCTGTTCAAGTCCTTAAAATAAAATCATTTTGCAGATATTAAAAATTCTGAAATAAATTGGGTTCCTATTCCTGCTTGTTGTTAACTTTTGTGCCTTTTCTATATTTTGATATTTTTAGATTGACATGATACAATTATAAAAGAAAAACATACCTGTTTGTTAATCAATGTTACTGCTTTTCTTGGAAAAAAAAATGGCAGTAATGCAGATTTTCCTCTAAAAGGAATTTGTGTGTTCTTCTATCTTCAAAGAAAGCAGTTGATGAAATCATGGAAAAACATTTCTAGATTGTCAAAAATATTACCTCTGCAATGTGCTAGTTGTGTACCTTGCTTTTGCTCATAAAATCTATGAAGTTTCCCTTAGGTTGTTGTTACCCCGGGCAGAGGCAAATCAGGGTTTTTTTGTTGTTGTTGTTGTTTTTTTCTCTGATGGCTTGATGTGTTTCCTAGAAATAATTGGAGTCTACTCTAGACATTAGTAAGACCAAGAGACAGGACCACTTTAATTCAGTGGACAACATCTTTGATGTTACAGCAGCGTATCAGCCACTGCACTGCCCCCATATAATTTTAACATCAAAACGAGGAAAAGCCATTATGGCTTTCTTTGTGTTATTGGGAATTCTCTTTTGTTATTGAGTGCTGTTACTGTATTTCCAGGTAGCTGATCTGAAGGCAGCTAGACAGCTTGCTTCTGAAATCACCTCGAAAGGAGCGAGTTTGTATGACTTACTTGGCAAAGAAGTTGATCTAAGAGTAAGTACGCTTTGGTGGAGAGGGACTAGGAACTTGTTTTGTCCACTGGATGCTGCAAAGGAATGAGATGAAATAAGTATGAGTAGCTGTTTTTAAAAGCTGCTTTTAAACTGAAGATTTTGTGAGTTAAAGGAAGAGATCTGAAAGTTTACGTTTCCTTCCCATTCATTTTAATACTTGTATTGCAGTAAGTCTGAGAGGAACCTTCTGAGAGTTTAGCGTTTTTGTCTTCAGAAGGAAAATGAAATATTCTTTGTAAAATCGCCTAGAAACATTAATGCTATATTGGGCGTTAGCAGTGGCAATAAATGTGTTCTAAAAGATAAATGAATGAGTTAAGCTTTTAGTTATCCAAGTGCAGGGCTGTTTATTTCTGTTACAGTAGCTGAGGACTTGCTAGACCTGTAGGTAAATATTGTTTAGCTGAGTTGTAAAATCAGGAGCTGCTGCGTGAAGTTAGGGAAATGTGATAGAATGTTCACATTTGCCAGCAAGTATTTCAGTTATTTTCTTAAATAGATTTATCTGTAATGTCAAAGATTATTCTTTTACTGATGACAGACATTAAATCCTGAATGTTCTAGTGGTGGGTTTTTTTTGGTTGTTTGTTTTTTTGTAATCTTCAGATTCACAATATCTGAGCTGTAGAAAGTGCCTTAGTAAGAGCAGTAGACTGTGTGCACAGGTAGTTAATGCTCCCAAAGCCTTGTTTGGGTGCAGGTGTTTCAAGGGGTAGGTGCTGCACAGGGGAGATGATCTATGGAGCGTTGCCTCTCTGCTCGCTGTGCTAGTCAGCATGCACGCAGAGGTGTGACAGACATTGATGCTTGAAGGAAGGGAGAAGGGATAACCTCAGTTTTCTAAAACTCATGTGTATTGAATTAGACTGTTAATCACTTCCCATCTTGCATTAAGGTTGTTTAATTTCTTGGGTTTTAAAATGGATTTTAAATGAATATGCCTGACGTATTAATGTTGACATTAGGGCATTAAAGACCTTTGTGCACAGCATCCTTTAGTCTGAACTTGGCTAAAATGTCAAGTATAGGTCACTATAAAGCAACATTTTAAAAATTACTTAAGCATTTTTTCGAAATGGGGGATTCTTTAATCACTTTAAATCACAGCTTTTAGGAGTCCAACTGACTTAAGAACTGGGCCCCTGAGAAAGGGGCTTATGCAGGTGCAGAGTGCTGAAAGCATGAAATGAAAAATCAAGAGCTAAGTAAGTGCTTCTGTGCAGCCACTTCTCATGGGCCTGTTAGGAAATCTCCAATGGAAGCCTACTTAAAGGTGCAATTTCTAAAAGGGCAGGATTTATTATATCCTGTAGAGAGCAAGTTTCTCATGGTGTAATGACTGATGCACAAGTTGGAGAAGGCTGATCTTGTATAGGTACATACTTTATATTTTGTGCAGAAATTTGGCAGATTGAACTTGTCTTTAAGAAATCCAGTCTTAGGAAAGATAACCTTTGCTTCTGCCTCATTAGCTGTAAGTTTATATCCTAAAGGCACAAGGTGATGCTGTAACAGCATTGTGAGAACCTCCAGAGAGCAGTGAAGGAGTTATTTTTACTATTTTTTAAAAATTTTTGAGATTATTGATTTCCATTGCTTATTTTCTTTTGGTTTTGTATGGAGAAGCAATACACACAGAGAAGTAAATTTTATTGGCAGAGGCATTGTTCTGAGAAAGGGCAGTAGGACAACAATATGGTTTATTTGTTCCTTATATTTTATGTCCTGAAATGTGTTGCATATATTAAAATGTATTGACAGCTGTGAGATTTAAAATACGATAGTTTTATATTCTCTGCACTGCTGCACCTCTTTTCCTTCCATTCATTTCTCTATATTGAAATAAAAGATCTTGCTATCCAGGATCTTGCCAATGATATAATATTTCATTTCTGTCTTAAATGAGGGATGCTTTATTTTCTTATAACTATAAAAGAAATACCAGTGTTTGGCATTAATGGGTTGAATTAGTCTTTTTTCAGTGTTTCCCTTCAGCAGCTTTGGGGGAAGGATCATTGGGAGAAGTAAAACTTCCATTTTTATTTCTTGTTGTTTTATTTCTTGTAGAAATTTTGACTCTAATTTACATCACAACCTTTACTTTCTTTATTGAAAATTTTTTTGCATGTAATTTGTATAGAGAGAGATTGTGTAGAACAATGTACATATACAGTAGATAAATCTTTTTTCTTTTTTCCCAAGTCATAGGATATCTTGCTGTTTAATAAATTATTTTTGAATGAAAACAGATTTCAGCCGGAGCAGAGCAGAATATATTGAACAAGGGAATGTTGCTAGTAGACGTATTGTAGATACATATTGATGTTGTTATGTTTGTGCATTTATTATTTAGGACTTAAATCTGTATCCATTTTCTTGGAAATGCAGTACTGTGACTTTGGGGTTTGGTTTAAATAGATTGTTTCCAGAATGAATATATGGTTTCAATATACACATAAACTTCTTTCAAAACTAATCTACAATATTAAAAAAACAAAACAAAAAACCCTTCAATTTAAAAACAGCAGAGGAAGGAAAATCTGCAAGTATTCATTTGCTGAATTTTGACTGTACTGGTTAAGATTTAGGGGGTTGGGGGAAGAAGAAATAACCGTTACACTTTATTCATAAAACAAAACTCACAAATGTCACTTTTAGTTTGAAAAAGTCAGATTTTAGGTTTTAAAGTAAAGCATTTCCTGAAGCAGTACAAAGCTGAAATATGAAGAGAAATAATTTTGCTTTTAACCAGAAGGTAGGTGAAGAGATTTATCTGTTTATTAGTTTATTTCTGGGTTGCTGCCTGCAGATCCCGGGTCTCTGGGATGCCGACCGGTGCCGTGGGCTGTGGATGGGAAGCGCAGAGGGAGGGAAGCGCGGGAGCCGCGGGTGACTTGTGGCTGGGCCACCCGTAGGTGTTGGGTGCGAGCGTGGTGCCATTGCCTATGGACAGCCATTCAGCGCTAAGGGAGAGAGATGAGAGGCCTTATTGGAATTGCACTGAAGTTGCTGAGATGCCTTTTTTTTTCCCCCCCCCCAAGAGCAACTGCAAACGAGCACAGCGTAGGTTATTAGTGTCCTGTGGCAGTGCAGTGTGTGTGAGACAACTCACTTAACCCTTAGGTTTTGCAAGGTGTTTTGTAGCTTGAAGTCCTGATGGTTTTCGTCTTAGAACAGAGAAATTGGAAAATGGGACTTCATGGAGTCTGTTTTTTTCGAATACGCTGGTTCCTACCCATCTCATTGTTTCTCCATATGTAAAATCATTCTAATTTTGATACATGCATTCAGATATTAGTGAAGTTGAGGAATAAATTTTGATAAAATACAATGAGATCCCCAGCAGAAAAACACATTCTGTGCACAAAGCTGTACATGTTTATCTTCAGTGTTTCAGTTGCTTCCAGTGGGACTTGCTCTGTGTTGTTTAAGTATATTGCCTTGATTTTTTGTAGTACGTGCATTGCACTTTGGATGATTAAAAATACAACCATCACCACCCCCTCAAAAGAGAGGAAAACAGGCAAAATGCAGCAGTGCCTCGTTCTGTGGTCGCTTGAGTTTTCATGTGTGGTGGCTGACTTTGGCCTTGCACAGCTAATGACTGCAGTCCTGTAAACAGCCAAAGATGTTAGGAAATCAGTGCTGTCCTGTATTTGTGTAGCAGCTGGTGACAGGTCCTTCATGGGGGCTGTGGGCAAGATGGATGTTGCACAGAGCATGGAAATGATGAGGTGATCCAAAAAAAAATAAATAGCTCGAAACAAGGCAGTAATGACTTTCAAGGTCCGTTGTGACTGGTTGGGGAAGGTCACTCCTGAGCTACCGTGCACTGAACATTCGAAATCCAAAAGGAAAAATTCATGTCTATTTATATTGCCTTAGCTAAGCTGGCTCAGTGACCTGCCACTCTGCGGCTGCCACAGCTCCTGTGCACATATTAGCAGCAGCCTGTTGAGAAAACTGCCTTGCTTAAATTTGCTGAATTATTAGATGCAGTGAGATAATGAAGCAAAAAAAATTCCCAAGTAAAAGTGCTTCTGTGCTGATGGCAGGCATGAAGAATCCTGACCTTTGCAAGGTTGATTTCATTTTATTTACCTCTCAATTAGATCTAAGCCATGTAGAAGCAAGGAAGGGTGAAAATAATCTTTCTTCTGATGTACTTTGCTCGTGTCAAAGATAGGTGACAAAGTAGGTCTCTATTCTAATCGTGCTCCTGGCGCCTACTGCTTCTGGGAGCTTGAGCAAACCATTTAGTCCCTGTATATCCTTGTGTGTTAATAATCTGCTAAATTACAGAAGTTATTTTAAAGCTTTTAACAGCCAGATAAAGTGTTTTCAGATTGATGGGGGAGAAATGTAAAAATAAATGTAGAGTGTTGCACTTACTAGTTCTCATTGTGATTAATTATTGTCATGATGCGTGCACACAGTGTAAGCTTGTTCCAAAACCTATGAGAGTCATTGGGAACCTCTTTACAGGCTTCAATGTGTGAAATATTTGAATTAAACTCTTAGAAGAGCCAGAGGCACTTAGGTCCAGCTGTGGCATTGAAAGGATAGTAGTTTCAGTGAAAAGACTTGTCACTAAAGACATTTAACTGGATCTCTAATTCACAACTCTTTGATTAAAGAACCCTTCTTTGGTGTCTCCCTGCTCATGCTGTTGCAGATTGCTGCCTGCCTTTATAAAGTGTGAATAGGTATTTGAATGACAGCTGCATTTTTCAATACACCTTGAAAATTAACTACAGAAAATTATTCTATCTATAACGTTGGAAACAATATTGATCTGCCAAATGTTAGTTCTTGGTACTAGGTAACACCATGGAGAGACTGATAAACTAATTTTTCTCATTTTGTGTGTTTCAATTACAAAGTTGTCACATCCATCTTGGAGAAGAAAATGACTTCTAGTGAAATTTTGTAACTTGGAATTGCGAGGACTCTGGAGAACCGCCTAGTTTATGCCAAGAT